CATTCTTGCTCAGCCTAACTTACCTCGTAGAGGTTTGGGAGGATATAATGAGGGAAGGTCACATGCACTGCTCATAGTTTCTCAGAACAGCACAATATATAAGTATATAATCATAGCCTTTTTCATGTTCATGGCACATGTACAGGCCTTTCTTGTATTCATGGCACATATACACTGCTAGCATTTCAACTCATCACCCAAGAGCCTTTTTCCCCAAGAGCAATCGTTTAGGAAAACTGGTGTAATTTTTGTTTGCTGTTCTTTGCAGCAACTATTTCTTTCAACTCCAAAACAGTGTCCTTCAGGATCCAGTTTTTACATTTGAAAATAACCCTGAGACAGGCTTAGAGCCATACGTACAGTCCCACCTTACAATTCTCACAGCCAAGAGTACGAATCTTCCTGAGTCATACAATCTTGTAGAAGGTTAATGTAGGAAAGTTCTGTGACTGTGTTTATGCAGATCCAAAAGAAACAACTCAGAAGAACATGAGAAGAGTCCTTGTGGATCAGACCAATAGTCTATCTAGTCCAGTTTTCTGTCTCACACAGTGGCCACCCAGTTCCTCTGGAGGACCCACAACAGGGCATAGAAGCCAAGGCCTTCCCTCCTGGCCCTGGGATTCAGAGGATTAGTGCCTCTGAATGTGGAGGTTCCACTCAGTCACCACAGCTAGTAGCTATTATAGACTTATTCTCCATGAATCTATCTAATCCCCTTTTAAAGCGGTTTATTCCTGTGACCATCAATACATCCTCCACTGTGTAAAGTAATATTTTGTTTTGTCTGTCCTCAGCCTACTGCACATCAGCTTCATTGGATGCCCTCAAGTTCTAATATTTTGTGAGGGAGAAAATTTGTCAACTCTCTCCACCCTATGCATAATTTTATAAACCTATCATGCCCCCCCTCTTTTCTATGCTGAAAAGTCCCAGACTCCTCAGCCTTTCCTCATAGGGAAGGTGCTCCAACCCCCTGATCATCTTGGTGGTTTCTCTCCTCTTCGCTTTTCCACTCTGCAATGTCCTTTTGAGATGTGACCAAACCTGTACACAGTATTCCAAAGGAGGCTGCACCATAGATCTATACAGGGGCATTACAATATTGGCCGTTTCCTTCTCAAACCCTTTCATAATAATCCCTAACACAGAGTTTGCCTTTTTCATCGCTGCAGCACACTGGGTTGACACTTTCATTGAGCTATCCACGACGACCCCAAGATGTTTTCCCCTCTGTCTCAGCCAGTTCAGACCCCACTAACCTACACTTGAAGTTGGTGTTTTTTGTCCCAATGTGCATCACCTTACACTTATCACCACCAAGCTTCATTTACCACATTGTCACCCACTCACCCAGTTTGTGGTGGTCCTCTTGAAACTCTTCACAGTCATCCTTAGTTTTCACCATCCTGAATAATTTTCTGTCATCTGCAAACTTGGCCACTACTTACCCCTAGTTCCAGATCATTTATGAATAAATTAAATAGTACTAGTCCCAATACTGATCCTAGTGGGGCCCCACTGCTTACTTCCCTCCATTGATTCCTACTCTTTGCTTCCTGTCATTTAACCAGTTGTTAATCCATAGCAGAACCTGTCCTCTTATCCCATGACTGCTAAGTCTTTAGTGAGTTACCTTGTCACAAGCCTTTTGAAAGTCCAGATATGTAATGTTTACTGGGTCACCGTTGTCTACAAGCTTGTTCACTTTCTCAAAGAACTCCAAAAGGCTGATGAGGGAGGACTTCCCTTTGCAGAAGCCATGATGGTTTTCCTTCAGCAGGCCTTGTCGCTCTATGTGCGTAACAATTCTGTCTTTTATTACAATTTCTACTAATTTTGCCTGGGACAGACGTCAGGCTGACTGGCTTGTAATTTTCTGGTTCTCCTCTGGATTCCTTTTTAAAAATTGGCATAATATTTTCTACTCTCCAGTCTTCTGGTACAGCAGTTGAATTTAGTGATAGGTTACATATATGGGTTTGTAGATCAACTGTCTCACATCTAAGTTCCTTAAGAACTCTTGGGTGCATGCAATTTAATTTCCACAGTAAGTCTAGAACTTTATCTCTGGTCGCCTCAATTTGGCTCAGTTCTTCAGACTCCCTTTCTGAAAATAGGGGCTGTGGCATGCCCTCCACTTTCCACCATGAACACAGAAGCAAAAAAGTCATTGAACTTCTCCACCATCTCCCCATCTTCCTTTAGCAATCCCTTTATTCCTTTGTCATCCAAAGGCTCCACTGCTTCAAGTTGTTATTTAAAACTGTTAAAATGGTTAAAAGGACAGCCCTACAACCTTTTAGACAGAGACAGGAGACACACCTCAAGAATATGTCAAAGACGGGCAAGTTAAGAATGACAGCTGAAGAAATGCCACTTGGGAGGGTTAGTGTACTGGCTACAACTGAGGTAAATTAACTAGGAAATCTAAAGAAACAGCAATGTTTTTTTTTTACAATTAAAAAATATTACTGGACAGAAACAGTTAAGGAGACCTTAGATTACTAAGAGATGATACTGTCAATCTGAATGGCTACAAAGCATTATGAACTTTATCCATTAACTTTTGGATCTACATGTTTACTTTGCTGAAACTGTTTTGAATCTCTCCTTAAATATAATTCTGTTTTGGTCATGGACTCCCCTGAACATTCCAACACACTCCCAAATCAGTTGGCTCCCTGATCTGTCACTCAGAGTCACCCTATCCACTGGCTGTATTGCCTGAGTCCTACCTCCAACATTCTAAACAGTTTGCCATTACTGTTCTGAGGTAAAATACATTTCCCCTTAGTGCCTGTTGGGGAAAACCATTGTTGCCAATCTCCAGGTGAGGGCTGAAGATCACTCAGAATTACAACTGCTTTCTGTATGGCAGAGATCAGTTCACCTGGAGAAAATGGTGGACTCTGTGTCCTTATATCCTGCTGAGATGGCCCCCGTATGACAGCCAATGTGACATAGTAGTCAGGGCTTCAGAGCACAGTAGAGGCTGCAGGTGTGTGTGTGGGGGGTATGGAAAGCTGAAGAGTGAGGGGAAAATAAAGGTAGGTTGATGATTGGCTGGGAAGGAGATAGGGTTGCCAACTCCAGATGGGAAATTCCTGGAGATTTGAGGGATGGAGCCTGGAGAGGGGGAAGTTTGAGGAAAGGTGGGACCTCAGACAGGTACAATGCCATAGACTCCACCATCCAAACCAGCCAGTCTCTCATGGGGAACCATTGTTGCCAACCTCCAGGTGAGGGGTGGAGATCACTCAAAATTACAACTGTTCTTCAGGTAGCATAGATCAGTTCCTCAGGAGAAAATGAGGTCACCACAGCAAATTGACACTGAGTGCCCAAGGCTGGGGCACCTGCCCAGAGCCTTTCTAGAACTCGTATTTATTTCCACAATGGGCCTTATTCCTAGTAGTAATATAAGTTTGGATAGTTGCTCTTCATGGATGGTTGGATCTGACAAGAATTTCTGCTAATAGAAAGGAAAGTTTTTACCAGGTCCCCCTCCTACTGCAGACTGCCAAATCCTCCTGCATACAGTTTTTGCAAAGGGGGGGAAGGGGGTCCCTGTCTTCCAGAGCAGTATTTCAGGTTAATTTTTTTTAAGTTAAATCAGCAGGAGGACTGGTAAGGAAGTCCTGTTCTGCTGATGGAAATCCTTTCAGTCAGCAAAGATTTAGTATGGGATCCAAGCCAATAGTTTCTTTTTGAAGAAACTGCTTCTGAGTACCTTGTTAGTTTCCCATGACTATTACCCACTTAACAGGGAATTTGTGAAGAAAGTGATTTGTCCCTAAACTGGAACTCCACACTAAGCTTAAATAAAACAGATATTGTACACAGCACACCTGCAGTTTAAAGAAAAGCTCTGGAGAGGCAGCAGCAAAAACAGAAGTAGGGATCAGTGGTATGGCAGAAGTGAGTGACGCATGAGACCTGCTGCCACTACCTAGGCAAACAAGGAAGTAGTAGAATGAGTTGCTGTGGGTCTGTCTGGCCACAGTTGGTGGCAGAGCAGTGGGACAAGACCATGTCACCACAGTTATTCACAACTGTCTCAGCATAGCTTTGTAAACCTGACTTTGATGTACCTTTCAGTGAAACCAGTAGAAATGCTTACGAAGAAACCTGTTTAGGATTTAGAGTAAAAAAGAAAACTAAGCATGCATACTCACAAGTAATACTCACCAAACATTAGTCAGGACCATACATGCGTGCAAAAATATCTTCACCCACCCCTTCCATTTGGGCCTCGGTAGAGAAAAGGTCTGTGGTTTCCTCATACATTTTAAAACTAGGCAACCTATTGGCTTGGTTTTGTAAAAAGTAACTTTTTCATTGGAACACTTTTCTTTCCTGGAGATGCCAATTAAACATTTTCAGGACTCTCATTTAAATCAGGAAACAAGAACAATGTCCACACATGGGTTTTATACATTTTTAATTTTAGATATCATCTTTTCAGAAGAACAAAATAAGGCATGTTTATGTAACTAAAGGTGCTTTTTTGTGGTTGAGAGTCAATATACAGAATTTCTAGCTGGTGCAATACAAGTCTAGTTTAGACACATTTAGTAGTGTGTGTTCATATATTATATATATGTCTATATATACATATAAAATTTCATGCCAGTGCTACTGAACAAGCACCCAAACCTGGACTTCCAGTGAAATGGCTCAGGAAGACATGGGCTACACTCCTGAGGCAGGAAGCCAGAAACCCACTCAAGACGATTCACACACTGGTCTCAGACCCACTACAGCATATCTCTTCATGGAACACACTCAGTACTGGTGTTAGTTCTATTGGATTGAACTGCAAGCAGAAGTTCACAGGCACTATAGACCTTTCCCACTTTTCCCTGTCTGCAGCTCTCCTTCTGCCTCCAAAAAGCTACTCTTGAGGCTCAGGAACAATGCAGCCCACAATATTGGGGGGGGGGGGGCTTACATCTTGAGGGGGGAATCAGGGGAAATTGCAGGACCCCCCCCCCCCCCCCCCGGTATATGTGGGAATGTCTTCCGCTCGCATAAGAGTACCTAGGGATCCAACCCACTGTATTTAAAAGCAGAAAGTTGTCAAATGGAAGCACGCTCACTGAGGCCACAGAAACCACTTGGTAGTACTGTAATGAGGAACAGATGGCAGCTTTAGGTGGTTTGGGGCTTGTAGTTTACACATACTTTTTCAGTGACCTCACTTATTTCTGATTAAATCCATAGAGGCCAAGCTCTCAGCTTCCGGTTTAATGTGGAGTTCAATTCACATCTATTAATATATACCAAAATGTCTTTCTCTGAAAGAAGGGCACAGGAATACGAACCCCTGAGACGGCTCCGGACAGGTGAACTCTTGCATTTGTGAAGAACCTTGTGCCATATCCCACTTTTATGTATTTGATGTTGAGGCGAGGGGTATAGATTTCAGCAAGGCTTATTAGGCTATGCTGCTTAGGACCGCAGCCTCCGTGGGCTTGCCAAGTCCTGGCTGCTTGGTTTTGGGAAATACAAATAATCTACTTAATAAGTGCACGCTTGAGATACCTAAAACTGGCTTTTCCACACCTGGCCCTGGGCACACGTTTCCAACACAGCAGGCTTCAGCCTTGCTGTATAATAAATGTAAAGGTTCAGGCCAACATCTGAGATGCCCAAAAAGTACACCTGACTGATATGCCTGAGCTGTCTCAACAGAGCTTTTTTTTTTTTTTTTTTTTTAAGGAGGGGTAAGGGTAGCTGGCAATGAGGCAACAATAGATGGAAATAAGTTTTTGAGCTGTACCCTGTGCAAGACTTTTAAATGCTCAACTGTGTCCCGGATTCTGCTCCAAAAGCATCTGGTGAACCAGTTGGCAACAGTGTTACTTCACCGCAAGTCAGGTTTCCCCATACTGTCTCTGTGTGTATATCTAGCGGGGTTTGCTCACCAAAGCAGGCAGACACACACTGTGCTCCCAAGACATTTCTCTCCCTCCCCTCATATGCCTCGCATCCCTTTAAGAATAAAGAAACAAAGGTGCCACACACTTCAAATACAGCATCATGCACAGCTAATTCAGACATAAAGCTCTGAATGGCCAGCATATATATATTAGAAACCAGACAACTTCCCCTTTGCTGAACAACTACATCTTTTCTCAAAACAGAAATATACTGGCTTTTTTCTTATATTCTAAATCTTCTCTTTAAATATGACATTTCTTTAGTACCAAGAATAGATTCTTTAAAAAAAAAAAAACCACACAGAGAGATATCCTGCACTGGTTGCTATAATGCTTCCCAATCATAGACACAGAATTGTTTGTACTTCCTGTGTCTCAACAGGGAAAGGACAATTGAGGCAGGAAATGGTAAGGTCTCAAAATAAATAATTTACACAATATACTTATTTGGTGCATCCCCTTGGCATTCATTTTAGCAGCCCCACCATCACTTCGCTGATATCCCACAGTTTCCTTGCCACTAAGTCATCTGCGGCTTTAGGCGGTAGTGGCTGCTCCTTGCAGTTTCCAAAATATTTCCCAGATACACCCTCGACTTCAGGAGAGGAGGCCAGATAAATAGATGTCTGGGCTCCTTCCAAGGGGGATCTGAAGAAAGCCCAAGACACCAAATTTAAGAGGGGCTTTACCAGTAAAGGAATATGTATGTGTCTGCCTAGATTTGTTCTGACAATACCAGGATGGAGGGCATTGACAGTGACTCCGGTGCCTTCTAAGCGTCGGGCCAGCTCCCTGACAAACAGGAGGTTAGCCAGTTTGCTTCGACTGTAAGCAAAGCTTTTGTTGTAACTCAGCTCGCTGTTCAAGTCGTCAAAGTTGATCTCTCCATACTTGTAAAGGGAGGAGGAAACCACCACAATCCTGCTGGGGGCGGAGCTCTTCAGAAGCCCCAGGAGGAGATTTGTAAGCAAGAAATGGCCTAAATGGTTGACACCAAACTGCATCTCAAAACCATCCTCTGTCTTTGTGTAGGGACACTGGAATATCCCTGCATTGTTGATCAAGACATCCACCCTAGGCTGTTCCTTTACAAAACAAAAGAGAGAGAGAGAGAGAGAGAGAGTCAGAGTCAGAAATGTGAACATAATGACATCACTTACATTTTTAAAATAAAAAAAAATTAAAAATCAGGTGGCCTGCAATGGATGAAGGGAAGCTCAACCTCCCTTTCTGGCCTCTTTCAATGCCTGCAACACCCCCAATTAGTTTGGCCATGCCTTACCTTTGATCTCAAAGGCACAAAGTTTCTCAGGGAGACCAGGAAAGTCACGTTTCTTGTGGTGCTTCCCAAGTTGAAAGCCATGGCAAACAAGGACCATGCCCCTGCCTCACCTTTACTGGTAGAAGCCGTGAAGGATGTGGGGGTTCAGGGCAGTTTTATGAAGACTGGCCAAGTTTGAGGCCACATGGAGGTTGGGAAAACCTCAACCTGGCTGGGTAGGCATGGTTTTATATCCGGGGTGAAAACATGACATCTCTTTGATATGTTAACACCTCCCTATTGGCTAAACTGGTTCCAGTGGCATTTTGGCTCCAAAATCTGCAGGCCAAATTCACTTTCTTTTTTTACACACTTGGGGAGGGGGGACCTGAAAAGGAGCTGTCCCTTCTCTCTCTTCTCACTCTCTCTGCATACACATACACATGTAGCTACCTTATACTGACTCAGTCCATCAAACTCAGTATTGTCTACTCGGACTGGCAGCAGCTCTCCCAGGTCTCAAGCACCCACTACCTGATTCTTTTAAGTGGAGATGCCAGGGATTGAACCCGGGACCTTCTGTATGCCAAGCAGATGCTCTACCACTAAGCCACAGCCCCTACCCCTAGGTGCTGTGAGTGGAACACAGCACTCTCTTTATCCATACACCCATTTGCATCACCCAGGGGGCAAAGGACATCAGACATGCAGGATTTGTAAATCTCAAATAGATTAGCAACCTTCTTCCTTTAGTCTGCATCCTAGTCCTGAACGGTATTTACTCTACAGTTGTGCGCTGTAGTAATAAAGTTGTATTAGTTAACAGAATGCATGGTCTTGATTCCTACCCATGTCCTTGTTGCAGGCTCACGCTACAAAAATATACTCCTAGTTCACTATACCTCCTAGCAGCAAGCTAGAAAAGGGTGTGTGTGTGTGGGAGAAAAAAATCAGGAGGTGATGGCAAGCTACCCAAAGAAAGGCTTTGAGTCCCACTTGACATGGAGCTGCGGAACACAAAGTATTTTTACTGGGTTGACCCCCCAAAAAAAGATTCCTATCCCAGCCTTCAAGCAAAGATGCCTCTCTCTTGCTTATGGGCCATTTGCCTTAGTGAGGAGTGACAGTAGCCAGCTAGGGTACTGGGAGGACCCGTCACAGCAGTTTTGGATATTCACTCCATAAGGCTAACAACAGTGCCTCCTGCGCTAATAAATCCAAATAAATTGATTGCGAAGGTGTATGCCGGAAAACATTTTTGCTAGGTCTTTAAAGGTGCCACTGGACTCCTGTTTTGTTTTGCTATAACAGACTAATATGACTACCCCTCTGGAGTTAGTAATGGGTATGTGGAGGTATTCCTGTCCATGTTACAACCAGCCTAGTACATATATATATCCCATGCATGGGAACATAAATGAAAACATATATTTGTACATGGCTCAATGCATGAGCTGCGGTGGCTCAAGTGGTTAAGACGCTGAACTGCAGGCTGTGGAAGGTCGGTAGTTCAGCAGTTCGAGACCCGGGTGCCGCATGATGGAGTGAGCTCCCATCTCTAGTTCCAGCTCCTGCCAACCTAGCAGTTCGAAAGCAAGGAATTGCAAGTAGATAAATAGGTACCACTTTGGTGGGAAGGTAACAGCATTCCGTGCGCCTTGGTGTTTAGTCATGCCGGCCACATGACCACGGAAATGTCTTTGGACAGCACTGGCTCTTTGGCTTTGAAACGGAGATGAGCACCGCAACCCTAGAGTCAGATTCGACTGGCTTTCGAGCAAGGGAACCTTTACATTTACAATGCATGAGCAGCCAGGTCCTGAACAAACACACCTAAATACCGCAGCCAATGAAAAATAAGTAACCATTATCTCTTTTTATAAAGAACACAACATAAGAACATCTCCCTGCTAAAGCATACACCATGTATTCACTGAAATTACTCAGCCGGCCAAAGCTATGGAGACATCCAGTGGCAATCTGCCAGTCCCATCATGGCCATTATTCCAGAACATTGCATCTCATAAAATATAAAAGAATGTTCCCATTTCCATTATATGGCGCCACAAAACAGGCACTCCAGCATCTATTTAAAGTCCGGGGTTTTAATCGGGAAATCCTTTCATCTGTTCCTCTGAAATGACTTGTGGCTCTTCACAAAGAGAATTTGTTAACGGCGCTGCTATTGAATAGTGACAGGAGAACTTCCAGTGACATTTCAAGCAGAGGCAATGTGAACACAGCATAGGAATTTGGCTTCACAAGCCAGTCACTGTTTTATTGTATCGTCACACCAATAGCTTTGCGGGGAGATGTTCTTGTCTAGATGACAGCCATTTTTTCCCCTCCCCTCCTTTCCCCACTGCCCTTTCAAATAACATATTTCTCTCTCAATTTGGAGTGAGAGTTCTAACTTTAAAACCCAAGGTGCATTCAGATGTCATCCTAAGTCACAACTTGCCATGACAGACACAAATACAGCTTCCGTTACTCCATCCCCTCCCTTCTCATGAGAAGCACACCTTAACATGCCTAGGCTGAAACAAACTCCGGTTCCCCAGGATGTATGGCTGCAGGCTCCTTGATGAATCTGGAGTTTGTTTGGGATATTAAGCCACGATAACAATGACTCAGAGTCTTCCTTAAATTGTGCTGCAATCAATGCTCAGTTAACACACCAGAGATTCACAGACCTTGGGGATCCTGTGTCAGCATACTAATTAAGCAAGTGGAGCTGCTGTGCAGCACAGTTTACATCAGACTTGGAGCCTGTGCAAAAACCTGTGCAAAACTCTCCTGACTTTGCCAGCATCATGTTCAAATCAGACCTAATGCAAATGTTGTAAATGAAGAAACATTTGATATTGTGCTGATGGAGGGATAGCCTATGCTAAACTGAGACTCACGGACCATGCTGGACTGTAGGAACATTTCTAGTTCTATTTCCTGCACATCTTTTTAGATGTTGAAAGTATCTGATGGCCACCTCAAACCTTGCTGAGTTCCTACAGGGAGAGTGCTTCTGTGAAGACTTATGCATGAAACCACAATCTGTGATGGCTGCTGTTTACAATTTGTGTATGTACACAATGGGAATTCACAGTAATTTCAGTTTCCCAACACAGGTTAACCTCCAATATAATATGTACATGTGATAATTTACACATGGGCTGCATGCAAGATAGCGCATCAGAAGCACATCACTTGAAAGATTTGATGTCCACAGCTTTCCCTATTGCCAAGTGCCAGGAGCAAGCCAAGCCCCAATGGTGTGTGGGTGCCCTCCTTATTGTACTGTACTAAGCAACTGCAACTTGGCAGGTGAAGGGGTCCCTCCTCCCTCCTTTGAGGATGATGCCACCACACCTCTGCTCTGACTGCAGTTTAGGAACACCTGTGCCTCCCAGTCTTTTTACAAAGCCACTCAGATTTCCCCATTTTAAGAAATTCCTTAAGGTCATCATTAAAAAATATAAATAGAACCCTGCTGGATCCAACCAAAGGATCATCTAGGCCAGCATTCTGTTTCCCTCACAAGCCACCCACATACCTCTGAGAAGACAGAAGACCATAAACAGGGCAAGGCGTTTACACTCCCTCCTACCGCAACTGGTATCCAGTTACACTGCCTTTAAATGGGGAGGTTCCACTGAGTCCTTCTGCCCAATAGCCACTGATCGACCCAGCTCCATGAATTTGACTTGGGACACCACAGCGTTCATTTTTTCCAGATCAAGTTCTAGTATTCTGGGAGGCAGTGGGCGCGAAGCATTCGCTGTCCACTTACCCCAAACTGTGATTTGTCAGGGTCTGTCTCACCTGCCCCCCCCCCCTTCTGCTAGAGCCCAACACTTAAGCTTTTCCACCTTTTTTGGTTTTGGGTGCATGCTTTCTAGCTCTACGAGATCGCTTGGGAAATGGGCTGATCAAGAACGTGCATCTTATTCCAGCAACCTTCTGGTCCTCAACGTTCTCTGCTCACCCCCCACCCCCTGGCAGCTATCCCGTTTCAGCCGCGGCGCCCGTCCCCCCCGCCTTGCATTTACCTGCAGCACCTGCTGGCAGAAGCTGCGCACTGAGCGGAGCGAGGCCAAGTCGAGCTCTCGCACCAGGAGTTCCCCGCGGCACTCGCCCCCTCCCCGCGAGCACAGGCCGAGCTCGGCGCGGAGCTCGCGCGCTGCCTCCTCGGCGCGGCCGCGGTCCCGGCAAGCCATTATGACCCTCGCGTGTTGCCGTAGCAGCTCCGCCGCCGTAGCTCGTCCGAGGCCGCTGTTAGCTCCGGTGATAATCACCGTCTTGCCTTCCATGGAAGCGGCAGACACGCTGCGAGTCACCTTCCCCGCCGCCGACCAGAGGCGCCGGGCTATGAGAAGCAGCCCTCCACCCAGAGCTGCGGCCAGCACGACCGCTGTGGCGGCCATCTGGGCTAGGGAGGGACCATAGAGAGACCAGGAGTAGAACGGCACTCACACGCCTTCGTTTCCGGTGTGATTTGAACTTCCGCTTTGAGGGATAAGAGGACCAAGACCTGAGCGCGGCTGCTTCCAGATGAAAGGCAGTCGTGCTTGTGTTAAGTGGAGAAGAGTTGGCCTTCGATTGGGAGGGTGCTTAAGAGACTAGTTTGGCTAGAAGAACATTGAGGTGTCATTTATACTGGGGAGATTGTAATTGTGTTTTTTTTCTCCTACAAATCTCAAATCACAAGAGATAGGAAGCAGTGTTCCCTCTAAGCTGAGTTAGTGTGAGCTAGCTCACAGTTTTTTAGCCTCTGGCTCACACATATTTGTCCTAGCTCAGGAAGGATGGCTCCAAAACAAACTAACTTATGCAGGAGCCAAATTGCTCACAACTTTAATGCAAGTAGTTCAGAAAGTAGAATTTTTGCTCACAAGACTCCACAGCTTAGAGGGAACATTGGATCATAGGAGGGAATTTCAGACAGAGGATATAATCCGGTAGAGGAACATCTGTTAGTGGAAACAGGTACCCCATTGGATAGAGGCTTCCAGCTGGGCATCAGTGATTGGAGAGAGAGATGTTGCTAACCCTTCCATGCCCAAAGATGTGTCAGTGGAAGGTGGTGGGTTGTCAGGTTGCCACCTGGAAACAAGTACCCCATTGGACAGCAGGTTCAGGTGGGAGATCACTGATTGGTGAGACAGATGTTGCTAACCCAGCCTGATGTGCACCCATCCATGCCAAGAGGTGACTGGCTGGCACATAGCTGGACTGGGTATAAAGGACAGGGAGACAAACCCTTTATCTTTGTGGGTTGAAGTTGGTGAGTGGCAGGCCTGTCTGGTTAGAGTGGTTTTGCTGATCTACTAGGAGTATGAGTGCGACAAGGGGGATAGGCGGGGAGGAGCAGGAGGTTCTTGACCTTGTATTGTGGGGGGATGACAGGATACAGCATGTTCTCAAGTTAAACCATAGAAATCATGCTGTTTTCCAAAAGATTTCTTTGGGAATGGCCAAACATGGCCATGACCGGACACCAGAGGAATGCCACAATAAAACCAGAGCAATGTGGATGAGATGTAGGCAGTTTCTGGATCATAATTCCAGGCCTGGTAATAGAAAAATCTCATGTCCCTATTTTAGGGAGCTTCATCAGATCCTTAAAGGGGAAGGATTGTTGAGGCCGAGGGGGGAGGTTGCAAGTGCCATCACCCTCCGAGATGAGGTGCCAGTGGAAGGACTTTCCCAGGACCTCTTTTGCTCGTAGACAGTGAACTTGGAGGATATCAGATCTGGTAAGTCATGCATATAAGGGATGGGGGGGGGGAGTGAGTTCACTGTCAAAGATAATGAACAGATGACTGTAGTATGCATGTACAGATCTTCCTTGCCTGATTGCTGGGTGGTTCTTTCAGTGAAGTGGAATGACAGTTATTGCTTTCCTAGTTTTGTCTCGGTCTCTCTGTGATTTGCAAGAAACCTGAATTGGGGGCTTATGAAAATGGACCTTGTTTATGGGTGCTGTCTACCTTACAGGGATGTCGTTTTCTTCTCCAACCGTATTCTTGCAGTGTTAGAAAGGCAGGAATTGTTTGGTTCACTGTATTTCTCCAATGCCCAAAAAACTCTGTACTGTACTGATTCACCTATGCCAACAGGAAAAGGTGCTCATTGCAGTTTTATTTTATTGGAATTCTAACTGATTTTAATTACATTATAATGCAAACCTGGCGGACAGGGTGGGTATATAATTCCAACAAAATAAATCAGTGTTATGTTGCTGCAGAACACTGCTTGCCAGGGACATTCACAAATAGGAATTTTAACTTTGCTGTTATATTTTATTTCCCATCAGTGCCTTATACCATTATTGATGAGGAGGAGCCAGGACCCTCTCATCGCGGCAACTCTCCTCCACCCGAGCATCATGCCATTCAGGAGGAACCTGGGCAGCTCACAACAGCCAGGAGAAAGTGACTCTATGGTCTGTATGTAGTTGCAGAGAAAATCATGGAGCAGTGGGACAGGCAGCATGCTGCTCAGCTAGACCAAATGGACAGCCACCATGCTGACTATATGGAGGCGAGGAGACCGGAGATGCTGGAGAGCAGGGAGATGCTCCGTGAAGCCATCAGACGCCACGAAGAGGTGCTAAAGAACTGTTCACAGAGTCTTTCTAGGCTCACGGATCTGCTGGAGAGGGAGCTGCAGAATAGACAGCGTGGTGACACCTCAGCACCTGTGAACCGTGGGGGTGGAAGGGGGAAAAGGAAAAGTGCAGGGTGTCCCAGGGAGAGACTTTCACCCTAATATGACTAACCTGTTCTGTTCAGGAAGTTTAGTGCTGAGTTGCTTGGTTTATACTAACAGTTCATACTAACAGAGTTCCTAAGGGTGGTTGGGTGGGCATGGGAATCCTAACTTTTCACTATCTGTTCTGAAATAAAAGTTTGCCTTCTTGTTTTGCAGTCATAAGACTCAGATTCTCAACATAAAACCCCAACGTGCAGTGAGGAACAGAGGAGTATGGCAGCCCGCCGGCGAAGAGGCGCGTTCTGGAGTGATGAGGTGGAGGCCACGCTCCACATCTTCATCGCAGGAAGATTGGGCTCCAGCCTCATGCACAGTACCCACCTGGAGAACATGAGACTGTTCCCCAGGGTGTCTGTGTCAATGGACAAACGGGTGAAAGGGGGCTTTTACAGTGCCCTAGAGGCCTGGAGGGGCTTCCCCCCTACTAGATCCAGGCCACCATACTTCTCCCAGATGACCGAAGTCTGGGAACAGGCAGACCGGCCTCATTGGTCTCATCAAAGGCACGCTTGTAAGTATGCCCCCCACCTCGAATTTATCTCCTGTCCTTTCCCCCATCTTGAACTTGCATTGGGAAAATATGTGTTTCATTCCCTAAAATGCAAGAGTGCCTTAAGGGGGGGGGGGGGCGGATCCGGAACCCTTGATCCCATGTTGTTTGGAGGTGGGGGCGGGAGAAAATCTGCTGGAGAATTGGTGCTGGAGCCTGGGCAGACCAGGGACATCACTGGGAGTCCATCCATTGAACATATGTAAATGCTTGCATTTCTCTTGATTATCTCAGAAGACCCAAGGTGGGTCATGACTAGATTTTTTGTAGAATTAGTAAACAAACATTAAAAGTCCAGTGCAAATCTTGAGTCCAGTGGGACCTTTCAGACCCACAAAGTTTTAGTTATGGTACAAGCTTTTGTGTGCATGCACACTTCCTCAGATACAGTGAAGTGTGCATGCACACCAAAGCTTCTACCTTAACTAAAACGTTGTGGGTCTGAAAGGTCCCACTGGACTCAAGATTTGTTCTGCTGCTTCAGACCAGCAACCAGCAGGAGGAGGAAGAGGAGCAGGAGGCAGCAGCTGCAGAGCCCCCCCCCCCCCGGAGAGGGGGGGCCCTTGCGTGAAGGGCGACCA